GAAAAGGTCGATTCCTTCTGTTTTTCTTTTCTTTTATTTTCTTTTTTCTATTTTTTTTTTTTTAAAAAAAAAAAGCTTTCAATATAAGAACACCTGTATTAAAAACCCCCACGTGGTTGGAAGAAGCCCCCGGCCCGAGGCTGCCCCCACCTCACACAGCATCACCCTGCAGTGCAGGGGCACCCGGCTGAGATGGAATCTGAAACTTTGGTCCCAAGAGTTCTCCAAAAAACAGCACATCCAGCTTTGCTTTTAGGGAATCATAGGAGAGAGCATGGAATGCCCACAGCCCCGGACCCTTCCAGCACAGGACAAGGAGTGGGCAAAGCTGCAGGGCTGCATCTTGGCCAGTCCCTTCCCAGAAAAAAGAGATTCCTTTTAACATTACTTTAAAAAAAGAAAAATAGAATGAGGGAATGATGAACTGAGGCCAGAATGTGGCTGCGAGGGGGACTGCATGGGGACATCCCTGCTCAGTAGCTCTCCTCCTGCTGGTAATAGTGGTACCCAGGGGGGTCGGTGCCCAGCTCACCGGCGGCGTTGGCTGCATCCCCTGGGATGCCTTGTGGGCAGTATTTGGGGTCATAGATCTGGCGACCCAGGCCGAAGACCTGCCCACTCTGGTTGGCACCCTGGTTGGATCCCATCTGCAGTGACATGGAGGAGTTGTCACACTTCTCCAGTCCCATCTTGGCGTCGTAGATGTGCCGTCGGGTGCCGGGTGCTGTCATGCCCACCTGGAAGGAAGGGAGGGAGGGAGCGAGTGGGGCTCAGCACGGTGCTCCCCACAATGCCATCGTCCCGCAGCCTTGTCCCCCACTCTCCCTGGCTCACCTGGCTGGCACATTTGTTGGTGCCCATCTGCAGGCTGATGGTGGAGTGGTCCATGGGTGGCAGGATTTGGTTCTTGGGGTCGTAGAGGTGCCTCCTGGTGCCGTAGGCCGTCATGCCGGACTGGCTGGCACACTTATTGGTGCCCATCTGGGCAACAGAGAGTGGTGAGAAGCAGGCAGCACCCCATCCCCCCCCACCATCCCCATCCTCCCACAGGGGATGGCAGAGGAACCCCCCAGCTGTGATGTGGAGCACTGGGGGTTGGCAGCTCCCACCTGCAGCCCGATCACGCACTGCCCAGCTTTCATCTTGGCCTCATCAAAGTTCCGTTGCTGCCGCTCAGAGTATTTCACACCAATGTCCACACCACTCTGCAGCCCTTTGGTCTTGGCCTGAGGGAAGGCGGTGAGGAATGAGGAATCTCAGACTTGGGGAGCTGCTGGGCACAGACCGGTGCTCATCCATCCCATGGAGCTGCCCCCATCCCTCCCCATGCTCTCACCATGCCCGCCAGCGCCAGCAGCGACACCTGCACCTGTGTCAGGTTCCCACTCTCAAAGAGGTCGTTGGCTTCAAAGAGGTCCACAGGGTTCATGCCGTAGCTGGCCATGGCCTTGATGAAGTTGGAGAGGTTCTCGAGCTGAGGGGAGGCACAGAGCACTCAGGTTGTGAGGAGGGGGCACAGGACAGCCAGGTTACAGTTACAGGGGGCATGGAAAGCTTGGGGGCTGCTTGCACCCACCTGGTGCCAGTTCAGTGCCGAGCAGTTGATCTTCCTCACCGAGTTGGGCTGCAGTTTGTTCATCAGCCTGGGGGGAGGCGATGGTGGTGAGCTTGTGGGTACGAGGGTCTTCCCTCCCCAGGGGAATGCTGACATCACCTGGGGGTCTCTGGCCCGCTCCTCCCAGCTGGGAATGAAGCAGCCCCACAACACCGGAGATCCCAGAGCCACCTTCCCTCTCATTGCCCCCAGGGCTCCCCACAGCTGGGTCTCCCAAACCACGCAGTGCCTGGGGGCCGTGTTGGCACCTCCCCTGGGTGCCGTGGGACTCACTCGCAGAGGATGACCCCATCCTTCAGCCCCTTCTGGAAGTCGGCCCCGATCTGCCGCCCGGTGACGCTTTCGATCCACGTCCGCAGCTCTGCCTCCTTCTGTGGGTCGTATTTCTGGGCGAGCTGGGGGAGGGTGTGGGGTGGTCAGACACGGCCTTGTGTGCACCCCAAACCCCGTGGGGACCTCTCCCCAGCACAAGGCCGGTCCCACTGCACACCACAGTGTGAGGCGTGGTTTGGACAGCCCCGGGATATGCGATCAGTTGCAATTTCCTGGTGCACAGGAAACCCAGATTCAGCGGTACAGAGACTGCCGAGGGGAGGAAGGAGAGCAAGAGCTGCAGCAGGGCCCTGCGGGGTGGGCACGGTGTGCCCGAGGATGGAGGGTGATGGTAGAGAACAAAGCCACCGAGCTTCTCTGCACCGCCGGCTGCCGCTCTGCTCCTGTGCGCTCTGCTCTGCGCACAGGAGCGGTCCCAGCCCCGCACGGCTCAGTGCTGTCATCAGCACGGCCACATCCAGCACAGCCCGCAGTCTCGCACGCGGTGACCCCGAGACTCTGCAAACTGTCAAAGAGGAAGAGGACGAGCTGCTGGCACGGCTGCTTCTCACCTCCGCCCACGGGACCCAGCACCGACCCCAGCCGCGCTCATCCCTCCCGCCGGTCCCTTCACGCCGCCGCGGATTCCTCGGCCACCGCGGCTATGCCAGGAATGCGGCCGCCTCCTCCCAGATGCAGAGCAGCCGCCCGGGAACGGCATCGCCTCGGCCCGACCGCGGGGACAGCGGATCCTCACCCTGGGTTGGAGCAGGGAAAGCTGTCGCAAGAGGAGGCTGAGAGCCCCAAGAGCCATCGCTGCACGGACGCAGCACAGCCCACCCTGTGCCAAGAGCCCAAGGACTCCACGGGGCTCAGCTGTGCCCCGTGAGAGGGGTGCCTGCTCCTGCCCTGTGCCTGTGCTGCAGGGTCACCAAGCCGGTCCCCAGGTTCCATCAGAAACCTCTATGGAGCTTTGCACAGACAGAACCGAGGGGAGCACAGCTCTCTGCAGTCTCCGTGCCTCAGTTTCCCTCTCAGTAGCCCTGGCGATGCGCTTTCTTGCACAGAAAACAGCTGGGGGGATGCTCATCTCACAGAACCTCAGAGGGTTCAGAGGAACACCCTGGGATGGATGCAGAGCTGCCCCGTGGGAGAGCTATTCCCAAGGGCAATGGCCCCACAGCCCAGTCTCAAAGAGGAAGCTGGATCTGACTAGGATGCAAGGATGGAGCAGCCACCACGGTCACACTTGTGCCGTCACGTGGGTGCTGGTGGGATCCCCCCACGCACAGCTGACCCACACACAGCACTGATTCCTCTTCCCCCCCCCCCCTCCCCACCCCGCCTGGGGGATGCAGCAGAGGAGCAGAGGGCCATCCTGCAGCAGGAGCAGCCCGTGAACAGACCCCATCACAGGACAGTGCTGCAGGTCCGACGGGTTCTCAGCAGTGATGTCAGCCTGCAGCCTGCACAGCGGGGCCGTCAGACTGGCTCAGCTCTTGCTGAACCAAGCTAAAGCACCTGGGAGCAGGCAGCGGCGAGGCCCCTGCACGTGTCCACCCACTGGGTACAAGCAGAGGCCCGTCCTCATACAGTGATGAAACCCAAATCCTGTGAGGCCGGGAGGGAGAGCCCAGCTCGAGCTGTGTGCGCATCCCGCATCCTGCCTGTGTCCTGGGTTGGACATCCAGCCGTTGATCCCATCCCTGTGCTGCACGGGTGCACAAGGAAGGGGAGGTGGCTGCTGCATCCCCCCATGGCTGAGCTCCATTCCCAGAGCAGGGATAGGGCACAGCCTGGGCTGTGGACCCAGCCAGGGGACCCAGCCCTGTTCTGAGGGTGGGAAGGGCAGCCCTCCGGGCAGCACCCTGCATCACCTTGGAGTGCAAACAGCCCCAGCAGAGAAATCGGGTTCCACTGTCCCCTTCCAGTCTGACATCAGGGCCCAGTCTGAATCCTGGGGTCCACCAAGAGGGACATCGTCCCTCCCCGAGGGTCACAGAATGATGGGAAAACAGAGAGCAGGGAAACCTCGGGAGCAGAGCTGCACGGAGCCGGAGCCATCGCCCCACTCACCCCCCCCCCCCCCCCCCGCAGGGAACCGGGGGGGACCGGGGCGAGAGTGGGGGCTGCCGGTGCCCGAGACCCCTCCCAGACCCCCGGGGCCCCGCGGGACAGAGTCAGAGCGCCCCACGATCGGAGCGCGGCTCCGGCACACGCCGCGTCCCGGGACCCGACTCCGCACCCTCCGGAGGGCATCGGGACCCTCGGAACACCCCCGGGACTTCTCTGCTCGCAAACCCCCGTTGGTCCCGGCACCCCCCCGCCCCCGGCGCGGCTCACCCGGTTCTTGACCTCCGCAGAGAGGCCGTAGGAGGGGCCCTTGTTGAACTGGGAGCTGCTCATGGCGCGACGGCGGCGGCGGAGCGGGGATCGACGGCGGGACCGGGAGAGACCGGGCGGGACCCGGCGGGGAGGGGGGGTGGGGGGGTCGGGCCCGGCCCCCCCGCGCTGATTGGACGGGCCCGAAATGCCCAAATAAGGACAGGAGTGGCTCCGGACCCGCGCATCCCGACACCGACACGCGGGGGGCTCCGGGAGCTCTAGGGACGGAGGTTGGAGACGGAGCCGCCCCGGGCACGCGTGGGACACCGGGACACCCCTACGGATGTGGAGCGCTACGGACGCGTGTGCAAGCCCCGAACACGTGCGCGCAGTGATGCGCACAACCGGGCCACGCGCGGCCACGCGGCCACGCGCTCCCGCGTGCACACCCACCCGCACGCCCCCTCCCCGCCCCCTCTGCCCGACCCCCTGGTCCGACCGCCTCCCCGCATCCCCATCCCTCATCTCCCCGCCCCGCCCCGCCCCTCTGCTCGCTTTGCGGAGGGTGACCGAAAGCTGCACGGCTGCGTT